ACAAAGGAAATGTAAAGAAGGCCGTTAAATGCTTTGTCTGTTCCCGAACGGGCCATCTTTCCAAAGACTGCTGGTTTAGACAATCACAGACAGATCAAAGAAATAAAGACATGCGCTCTCCCCCTATTTCTTCTGTAAGAGGAAACGCCAGAGGGCGTGGCAATGGGAAGCCAAACGGTCATCAGGGGCAGGAAAAATCCAAGCCTGTGTTTCTCCTGAGAGAGGCTGTGCCAGAAACTGCAGGAAAGCGAGCCGAATGTGCGAATGTGCTTGCTGTAAACATTAATCATAGCAGAGAATACAGTGATGAATCACTGTGGCTACTGGACACAGGGAGTGCCGTCCACATTTGCAACAGTGCTGAATATTTTGTTGATCTGAATAAAGATGAGATGCCCAAACTGATCAAAGTTGATAATGAACCATTGAGAGTTGCTGGAACAGGAAAGATTTTTCTTAATGTGTTAAATTCTGCTGGCCAAATTCAGCAAATGACTTTAAATGATTGTGTATTTGTGCCTGAAGCTAGTACTTGTCTGATCTCCTCAAGGAGAATTATTGCTGCTGGTTTTAACATTAATCTTAAAAAGGGACAAGGAAAAATTTGGCACAAAGATGGAGTCGAGCTCATTATGGAAGAGCACGACAGTTACCATTATGTAAGAAATCTTGGCATAACTGAAAATGATGAACTGGACACAAGTGGACCTGTGTTTCACACAAAATCATCTGAATGTGAGCACAAAGACTGTTTATTTAAATGGCATGTGATGTTTGCTCACAGAAATTTACAAAGTGTGAGAAAGCTTCTGAAGGGCTGTAATATTGATGCTGTTGAATGCAATACTATTAGTAATGGTTGTGATACCTGTTTTAAGGCAAAAGGCAAAGCGCCTTGTTACAGAGGCAAAAATCCAGAACAAGATAAAGGTTTTCTAGAGACTGTGTACTCAGATCTTGTTGGCCCTATCAAACAATCTACTGGTGGTAGTAAATACTTTGTGACTTTTATGGAAGCAAAATCCAGATATGTCTATACCTACCTACTTAAAAGTAAAGACCAAGTACTTGACAAATTTAAGTGCTATGTTGCTGCTGTTAAAAATAAATTTGGCAAAGCGCCTGAAGTGTTATTCACTGACAATGGCACAGAGTATTGCAGCAGTGAGTTCCAAAGGTTCATGGAACAAGAAGGAATTGAACATCAAACAACTATTGTTTATTCTCCAGAACAAAATGGAACAGCGGAACGCTTAAACAGAACCATACTAGAAATGGCGCGTTCTATGCTAATACAATCTGGAATTTCAGAAGATATGTGGGGTGAAGCAGTCAATACAGCTACTTACCTGCACAATAGAGTTCCATCTAAAACTACAAATAAAATTCCTTTTCAATTATGGCATAACAGGATGCCTGGACTTAAACACATTAAAGCATTTGGATCTAAAGCCTATGCCCACATTCCAAAAGAGAAAAGGGGCAAATTAGAGCCAAGAGCAGAAATTGGTATCCTAGTGGGGTACGCTCAAGGAGGAAAAGGCTACCGAATTTTTGATTCTACAAACTGTGTAATTAGAGAATGCAATGTGGTACATGTTGATGAGAGTAACATCCTGCAAACTCCTAAGCCAGCTGAGTCCACAGCACAACCTGTCAATCAGGAATCTACAGATGTCTCTTTCTTTGATGTGATCACTTGGCAATCTGCAGAGACCACCTGTGACCAGGCAGGTCCATCTCCACAAGAGGATTCCACCTCAGAAGGGGAACAAGGGAATTCCACCTCAGAAGGGGAACCAGGAGAGGCAACGCCAAGGGTAAGAGAGACAACTGCTGTGAGACAATCAGCAAGGAGTACCAAAGGTGTTCCACCACCAATGTACGGAATTTGTGCAAGTGTGCAACAAATAAAGGAACCTACTAACTGGAAGGAAGTTAATCAACTACCTGCATCTGAAAGAAGCAAGTGGATTAATGCCATGGAAGAAGAATTTGCATCTTTGCAAGACAAACAAGTTTGGACTCTTACTGAGTTACCTTCAGAAAGAAAAGCCATCGGCTGTAAGTGGGTGTACAAAGTGAAGTATAACCCTGACGGCGAAGTGGACAAGTACAAAGCTCGTCTTGTCGCAAAAGGATTTTCTCAAAAATATGGAATCGATTTCTCGGAAACTTTTGCACCTGTTGTAAGCTACACAACCTTCAGAACACTTTTGAGCATAGCAGCCTCAAGGGGCATGCACATTGAACATTTGGACGTCAAAACTGCGTTTCTCAATGGAGAATTGAATGAAGAAATCTACATGGAACAACCAGAAGGATTTTCAACAAAAGGACAAGAAGGCCTAGTGTGCAAACTCAACAAAAGCGTTTATGGACTAAAGCAAGCAGCAAAAGCGTGGAATGAGAAACTGACTGAACTGTTACAAAAACAGAACTTTCAACAAGGAATAGCAGAACCGTGTTTGTTCTCAAGAATCAAAAATGGACAATATCAGTACATACTCATTTATGTTGATGACTTGATTATTTGTTGTGAAAATCAAGGAGATGTACAGGAAATAGCAGATGAACTAAACAAGGAAGTGGAAGTGAAACAATTGGGACCTATAAAACACTATCTTGGAATACAAATTGAAAGAACTGATGATGGAAGTTTTCTTCTAAGCCAAAAGCAAAAGATCATGGACTTTATTGAATCTGTAGGAATGAAACATTCCAAGCCAGTGAGCACACCTCTTGAAAAGGATTACCTCAAGAATACAGAGGGACCACTACTTCCAAATAACCACGAATACAGATCAGCAATAGGAAAATTATTGTATCTTAGCAAAATTTGTCGACCAGACATAACTTCAGCTGTTGGACTATTATGCAGAAAGACCAGCTCACCGACTATCCATGACTGGAAAGCTGTAAAAAGACTGGCAAGATACCTAAAAGGAACTTTGGATTACAAACTGAAAATCTCATCCTGTGATGAACCAAGACTGACTGGTTTCATGGATGCCAACTGGGGAAAAGACACAACTGATGGAAAATCTACAAGTGGATACTTATTCTACTATGGAAACAGTTTAATTGACTGGACTAGTCAAAAGCAATCTGTTGTAGCGATCTCTACTGCAGAAGCTGAATGTGTATCAGCGCAAAGTGCCAGCTATGAACTGTCCTGGATCATTGAACTTCTAAAAGATTTTGGAATAGATGAACCGAAACCAATCATAATGTATGAGGACAATCAAGCTTGCATCGTTATCTGCAAAGGTGAAAGCACCAAGTCCAAGAGTAAGACCATTGCTCTACAATGCAAATATGTGAAAGACTTACAAGACAAAGGACTCATTGAACTTCGTTACTGTCCTACTGACCAGATGACTGCCGACATCCTGACCAAGCCGCTTGACAAGCAACGTTTTGAGAATCTTCGTGAAAGTTTAAATTTGCATGATTTCAGTGTTATAACTTGAGAAGGGGTGTTGGAAGTTACAAGTTAGAACACTTCTATTCAGTATTTACTGAGTTAATGCTGTGTTCTGAATCACATGTTTGTTTGTATCCTATCTGCTTAGAGAGTTAGAAAGCCCGCCAGATACAGATCTAGTTTGTTGTTTTGATTGGGGAATGGAGTGTTACTATTTAGCATTTTATGGCTCTTTGTCCCTGAGCAAGAAGAAGCTCCAGTCTCCATTACTCTTCGTTAAGTTTTCTAGATGAGAGGATGTAGGAATAAAGCTCTTTGTTATTTTTCTTCCTGTTTACCCTACCCTTGATAGGTTGTTAGTAAACTTTTATATTTTAAAACTACCATGGACTTAGACTCATTTTTACTCTGCTAAACTCTGCTGAATTAACTTTATAAGAAATTAAATACTAAACTATCTAACACTGGTGCAAGCGGATAGTAAGAGCCGGTGTATTCCAGTTTAGGGAACAAGTGGCACGCAGATGACATCTGGCCCCCAAAGACTGCCTCCAGACAAAGGATTTGCTGCACACAAACTCTCAAGCTGAAGTGGGTTTTTTTGGAGCACCTGTGCCAGTGGTCCCCAAAGTGGTGCCCGTGGGCACCAGGGCACCCGCCAACACCTTTCCTGGTGCCCGTCAAGTGTTTTTGGAAAGTGGCTGGGGCTGGGTGGGAATTTTGCTCAGCCAAGGCTTCCCAGTGGCTGCTGGAGATTTGATTGGCCATGCAGATTTTTAAGAACACTGCTTCAGCATCTGCTTACCACTGTCATTGTGTGACTGAAGGTAAGCCGCAGCTGCCATTTTGTGGCTGGCTCCACCTCCTGCAGCAGCCATTGTGTGACTGGCTCCACCTCCTGCAGCAGCCATTGTGTGGCTGCACTCAAAGGTGCCCACAGGCTGAAAAGGGTTAGGGACACTGCTCATGATCCTTCTCTTGCAGACTGCGGGCTTCCACAGGTTTGGCCTAATGAGTCCAAAACCTGATTTGCTTTGATCTTTCCAGAAAGATCGGAGTCAAAGCAGATTTGCCTATGGAGAGATGCACATTCCCACATCTCCCTGCCCACAGCTGGCTCCATTTCCCCTCATGTCTGCCATCTACCCCTGCCCACCAGCGGCAGGCTTTCTGCCATTTGTTTTCCAACCAGGAGCAAGTACACATGGCCTTGACCTAGATAGGCCAGGCTAGCCTGATCTTCACAGATCGTGGAATAGGCTTACCAAATTCCGGCGGGGGAATTGTATTTCCTGGCAGGATCTTCGCCGCGGAGGTTGTTCTGGCAACAGCCCCATTGCCAGACCGACGCGGAGCGTCACATCCTGGCGACGGCGGGTGCAGCGCGTGCAGCCGTCCCCACGGCGAGGATCCTGCCAGGAAATACAATTCCCCCGCCGGAATTTGGTAAGCCTATCGTGGAAGCTAAGCAGGGTCAGTTCTGGTTTGGATGGGATTCCACCGAGGACGTCCAGGGTTGCTATGTGGCAGCAGGCCATGGCAAACCACCGGTTCGTCTCTTGCTTTGAAAACCCCATAAAGGGTCACGATAAATCGGCTGCCACCTGACGGGCACACATGAATACATGAAGCTGCCTTATACTGAATCAGATCGTTGGTCCATCAATGTCGGTCTTGTCCACTCAGCTTGGCAGCGGCTCTCCAAGGTCTCAGGCTGAGAGGTCTTTCTCATCACCTCCTACCTGATCATTTCAGCTGGGGGTCCCAGGGACTGAGCTTGGGACCTTCTGCATGCCAAGCAGATGTCCACCACTTGGCCACGGCCCCTCCCCAATATATATCGCTATATCTGTATCACTACAATGCGGTATCGCTATAACACCAGCAATAGAACTACTGCTTTTTTTTTTAAGCCAGCAAAACCCCATTCAGCAATACAAGGGAGTTATTGGGTAGGGATGACAGGCGTGTGGGAAAAGGGAGGAAAGACGGAAGCACTGTACAGTGTGGACGCTCCACTGGTGCTGCTAATGCCACTGCATTTGCAGTGGCAATAACTGTACACTGGGGGATTGTTTCCCCCATGTGGAAGCAGCCAAAGAGATGTTAAAAGGACCGGGTAGGAGGTGATGTGAAAGGCCTCTGCCTGAGACCAGGGCTATTTTGGGGCAGGAACGGAGTTCCGGCTGGCTCCTGAGTTGGCCACGCCCAGCAGGAACTCATTAGCATAATAGGCCACACCCAACAGCAGAAACTCATTAGGATTGGCTACATTAGGGGTGTGTGGCCTAACATGCAAAGGAGTTCCTGCTACAAAAAAAGGCCCTGGGTTTTGACAACAAACAAGGTAAACAGAATAAGAAGGGAAAGGTGGGTGTGGCTGGATGACCACACTTCTGGTAACATGGGGGTGTGGCCTAATGTGCTAACGAGCGGTGCTTTCAGGGTGTGGCCTAATATGCTAATGAGTTTCTGCTGTTGGGTGTGGCCTATTATGCTAATGAGTTCCTGCTGGGCTTTTTCTACAAAAAGAGCCCTGCCTGAGACCCTGGAGAGCTGCTGCCAGTCAGAGTAGACAATACTGACCCTGATGGACGAAAGGTCTTATTCAGTGCACATGAAGGCGGCTTCACGTGTGTTCATGTTTTGGACCCTGGATGGGAGCCAGTGAGATGTTGGGAGGCAGAAGAACCAGAAGCGTCCGGGATCATCGAGTCCCCTGCTGTTAGAGAAGGGGATGGTGGTGGTATCAGAGAGCACAGCCCGTCCTGCTGTTCCACAAAGTGACAAATCACGATGACGATGAGGATCCCACGTGGCAGAGCAGGGGACCACCCAGGCGATTTGTGCTCACCTTTGGTGCTGATGCCCCGCAGGTCGGTGATCTTCATCAGCATGCGGGGGAACATGTAAGGCTTGTTGGGTCGGCGTCGGCGAGCGTAGATCTTCAGCGCTTCCAGCAGCGGCTCCTGCAGCTTGTCCACTTTCTCGGGCTCCTCCAGGTCCATTCGATCTGGGAGCAAAGAGACCAAGGCGGTGGGCTTGGGGGGCTGGGCAAAGTGTCGCAGGAACCTCTGCCCTGATCTAAGGATCTCGCCCAGTGTTCCCTCTGAGCTGAGTTAGTGTGAGCCAGCTCACAGTTTTTTAGCCTCCGGCTCACACATTTCTGTCTTAGCTCAGGGAGGACGGCTCCAGAGCAAACCAATTTATGCAGTAGCCGAATCGCTCGCTCACAGCTTTAATGCCAGTAGCTCACAAGGTAGACGTTTTGCTCACAAGCCTCCACAGCTTAGAGGGAGCACCTCCCCTTTTTTGGATGAGGGCGATCCTGAAAGGTTTAAGAAAGCAGAGAGCATCTAGATAAGGGGTCCCCAACCTTTTTTTTTCGGTGAGTGTTTATTTATTTATCATTATTACTTTCAATTTATATCCTGCATTGCCGGGCGAACTGTGTGTGTGTGTGTGTGTGCCTGGAAGTCACACACACTTGTTGAACATTTCAGAGAGGTGGCTTGCTATTGCCTCCCTCTGCGTCCCAGCCCTGATACCGATATTTTCCAGCTCCCTGATATCTGGAGCCCCCAAAAATATGATATTTTTTTTAGTTGCACACCCCTAGTAAAAAATGATTTATTTTTTTTAGTTGCCCATCCCTAGTTCCTGGGGATTGGGTCTGTATGCTCCTGGCCACCAACAGCCCTCCAAGGTAACAGCCCACCAGGACATTTTCCTGCAGGCTAAATGGCCCGCCCGCCCCTGCTGTAAGGTTATAGGGCAGTGATGGTGAACCTTTTAGAGACCGCGTGCCCAAACTGCGACCCAAAACCCACTTATTTATTGCAAAGTGCCAACAGGGTAATTTAACCTGAATACTGAGGTTTTACTTTAGAAAAAACAACTCATACATTAATTTAAGATGATCCAAACAAAGTAAGGAAAGCAATCCCAAATGCTTTCATTTACTTAAAATTATTTGGCCGAGAATTCGACACTTTAATGATGGTCTGGGCCTGGCTGGGGCGATGGCACGCGTGCCCACAGAGAGGGCTCTGAGTGCCACCTCTGGCACCCGTGCCATAGGTTCGCCACCTCTGGCACCCATGCCATAGGTTCGCCACCACTGCTATAGGGGCTTGGATGCAATTTCAGAACCAACCTCTGTGTGTACCCCAGCAGGGGAATAGCAGTCTGTCCTTCCCCCAGCGACCCGCATCCACTCTCCCTTTCTCCCAAGCATTTCCTGAATCTGTGTTCCGTTGCTATGCCTGGACTCTGCTTGTTTCTGGGCTCTTCTAGCTCTTAAACTTTATCCTGATTGGAACTGTATTCGGTTACAGCCGTTTCTACTGACATCGCCTTGAGGTGACTCAGAAGCTTTATAATCATATGTGTTTTGTCCAACTATGTGTGTTTGCAGTTACACAAGCAGCCCCAGTGCATGCTGGGCCCAAAGTAGGGCAGACGTCACAACCTGCCTCTTGCTGGGGCGGTGCTCTGTTTTACCTACCTGACCGGTTAAAAAAGGCTCACATCTCGCTGTACAAAAGCAGCTCACGCAAACAGCCCAAAAAAAGGAAGCTAGGTTAACTACCAATGTGCACTTATGGTGTAAACGGAATATGAGCTGATTTATTTGCTGAACTTATAGGCCGGCACAGTGTTCCCTCTAAGCTGAGTTAGTGTGAGCTAGCTCACAGTTTTTTAGCCTCCAGCTCAGGTAGGAAGGCTCCAGAGCAAACTAATTTATGTGGCAGCCAAATTGCTCGCTCACAGCTTTAATGCCAGGAGGCTCACAGAGTAGAATTTTTGCTCACAAGGCTCCGCAGTTTAGAGGGAGCATTGGCCTGAACCACCGTCCACCGCTGCCGCCACCACGTTCAGAGCAGGTATCAGTAAACTAATCCTCTCCTAGCCCATCCTTGGCCACCAAAAGCTAATTTGAAACCACACATCTGACAAGGCTTCTGGAAGGCATTTGGGCCTGGGCTTAGGCAAGGCTCCAGGGGTCATAAATTCTGAAGCAGGAAGGGCCCTGTAGACTTGGCCTGGAACAGTTCCAGTCAGCCCTAAAAAGCCGTAAGGAACACACAGGGATTGCAGCTGGTTTCCCAGGTATTATCAGGACATTCAGGGATTTCTGGGTCATTACCAGCCCTCCAGATCACATGAACACATGAAGCTGCCTTATAGGTAAAGGTAAAGGTTCCCTTGCTCGAAAGCCAGTCGAATCCGACTCTAGGGTTGTGGTGCTCATCTCCGTTTCAAAGCCGAAGAGCCAGCGCTGTCCGAAGACATTTCCGTGGTCATGTGGCCGGCATGACTAAACGCCAAGGCGCACGGAACGCTGTTACCTTCCCGCCGAAGTGGTACCTATTTATCTACCTGCAATTTCTTGCTTTCGAACTGCTAGGTTGGCAGGAGCTGGAACTAGAGATGGGAGCTCACTCAGTCCTGCGGCACCCGGGTCGCAAACTGCTGAACTACTGACCTTCCACAGCCTGCAGTTCAGCGTCTTAACCACTTGAGCCACTGCAGCTCAAGTATAAGTAGAAGCTGCCTTATACTGAGTCAGAAATTGGTCCGTCAAGGTCAGGATTGTCTGCTCAGGCTGGCAGCCGCTTTCCAGAGTCTCAAGCAGAGGCCCTTCACACCCCCTACTGCCTGGTCCTTTCAACTGGAGATGCCAGGGATTGAGCCTGGGACCTTCTGCATGGCAAGCAGACGCTCTACCTCCAAGCCATGGCCCTTCCCCAATTTTAGGAGGCAAGAGTGTGATGTGCTCACACCTCAGTCATATTTAAAAGCTGCCGTGTGTGCATGTATGGAGTGGGTGGCAACAAGTGATTCGTATATGCACATCACGCAAGGGCTGTAACATCAAGTACATAACTAGCAAAGCTACACAAATATGTCTAAGTTGGTGTGATTTGGGCTGCAGAATCTGGGCATTTCCTCTTCCTTCCAGTGATGGTCTTGATCTAGACCTTTACCTTTGGAATTCTGGCACAGCATGGTGGGCGCAGTCCCAAAGTGGCTGCCATGGGAAATGGGACCATCTAGACCAGTGGTTCTCAACCTTCCTAATGCCACGACCCTATAATACAGTTCCTCATGTTGGGGTGACCCCCAAACAGCCCCGTTGCCAGAGCGACGCGTAGCGTCATGTCCTGGTGACGGCAGGTGCAACGCATCTCGCCGTCCCTGCGTCAGGGATTCTGTAAAAAGATGCAATCCCCCACCACGATTTGGCGAGACTTGGGAGCCCTATCCTAAGACCATCAAAAATTTGTGATTTCCGATGGTGACCCCTGTGAAAGGGTCGTTCGACCTCAAAGGGGTCACGACCCACAGGTCGAGAACCGCTGATCTAGACAGTTGTCGCCCCAGCTTACCGTCAGTCACGCAGTGAAGCTCCTTGTGCTGTGGTGGCAGCTGCTGCCAAAGCAAAGTTTTAAAAAATCTGCACAGCCAATCAGATCTCCAGTGGCCAATCAGAAGCCTCGCGCTGGGCAAACGCCCCACCTGGCCCCTTCTAGAAACACTTGGCGGGCACCAGAGAAGGGGTTAGCAGCCACCACGGCACCCATGGGCACCACACTGGAGACCCCTGGCCTAGTCCGTCCCGCATTTTCATAAGTCGTCCTCCTACCCTTTTTCTCTGCAGGTGGAAGAAAGCACCGGCCCTGCCGAAACGCCTTCCTGCTCCCTAGAGCAATGACGCGGGTGACACTTTTGGAACACCCTCATCAGAGAGAATTGGGGGCCCCGGCCTGGATGGCCCAGGGAAGCCGAACCTCATCAGATCTCGGAAGCTAAGCAGGGCCGACCCTGGCAAGCCCTTGGAAGGGAGACCTCCTTGGAATACCAGGGCCGGGAGGCAGAGGGAGGCTGTATCAAGCCACGTCTCTGAACATCCTCCATGCTGCAGTAGGGGTCGCCAGACGTTGCCATGACTTCCAGGCATGCCAACAAACAAGAAACCACTGTGATAAAATGACAATGACACATTTAATACATTCTGTAGACATTTTGCCGTAAAACAGAGTCCAACTATTCATTTTCTCTTTTCTCGATGAGTACACCAGTTTTTACACTCATTTCAGCTATCTTCCTCATGAGTAATCTTATAAAGTTGGAAGGTGTTTTCTTCTTAGTAAATTATCCTGTAAAAAGCATAGTTTTGAGGAGTAGAAACAAACATGAAGCTGAATGTAATAATTTTGTTATCACTTTTAACTAGAATAATTTTAAACTTACTTTCAGTTCCATTGCATTTCTAGAATAGGAGCAAGCCAATAACTTAATTTCTATTCGTAGCAGCCAGTCCAAAATTTTTATTATTCTAGTATATGCAATGGAACTGAAAGTAAGTTTAAAATTATTCTAGTTAAAAGTGATAACAAAATTATTACATTCAGCTTCATGTTTGTTTCTACTCCTCAAAACTATGCTTTTTACAGGATAATTTACTAAGAAGAAAACACCTTCCAACTTTATAAGATTACTCATGAGGAAGATAGCTGAAATGAGTGTAAAAACCGGTGTACTCATCAAGAAAAGAGAAAAGGAATAGTTGGACTCTGTTTTACGGCAAAATGTCTACAGAATTTATTAAATGTGTCATTGTCATTTTATCACAGTGGTTTCTTGTTTGTTGGCATGAATCTGCACACTGTGAGCCCTTATTATATCTTTTTTGACATGACTTCCAGGCATGCATACACACATACACACACATGCACACAATAAAAAAAAAATCAGTGAGAATTGGGAGAACTATCCTTTGCCAAGGACAAGGTCCCTCGTGCCAGCCTGTAGGGGGAAAGCCTGCAAGAGCCGCAAGAGGGGTCGTTACCTCCACAGATAAGGCAGATGGCACTGAGCAAGCCGGTCTCCGTGTCGTCCATTTCGAGAGGCAGCAGCTGCCCGGCGAAGGCAAAGACCAAGTCGGTGAGGGGCCCAAATCCAGCGTTATGCATCTGGGTGCGGTTCAGGGTCAGCCCATCCGAGAAGGTCATGGTGTCCTGCTCTGGGGTGTAGCGGGTACAGATACGGAGCATCTGCAGAAGGCACAGATCACGCAGAACGTCATGGAGAACGGGACAAGGCAAAGAGAGGGATCGCCCATCGCCCAGCCAAACGATGCCCCGCCATGCCCCTCTGAGCCACAAAAAAGAGACATTATACAGGCAGAAGCTTATTGCATGGAGCTCCGCAGGCCCGTCTTCCCTTACACTTTCCATCCTTGGCAACACTCAGGGGCTCCTGGAGCTGGGGAAGATACTGGAGCTGACAATCGGTATCCATTGAAGGAATAGGGGCCGTGGCTCGATGGCAGAGCCATCTTGCTTGGCATTCAGGAGGTCTCAGCTTCAATCCCTGGCATCTCCAGGTTAAAGGATCGGGTGGAAGGGGGTGTGAAAGACCTCTGCCCGAGAGCCTTAGCAGGCAGTGTTGACCCCGATGGGCCAATGGCCTGATTCAGTATAAGGCAGCTTCATGGATGTTCATGTATAAGAACAGGGAGTCCTCAGAGGAAGGTGGCACACGGCAGTGCCAAGCCCACGTTGAACTAATCTTTAGAAGGCCAAGTGCAACCCCTGCTCATATAGAATCGTAGAGTCACAGAGTGGGAAGGGGCCACACGGGCCATCTAGTCCAACCCCCTGCCCAATGCAGGACCAGCCTAGAGCCTCCCTGACAAGGCTATGTCCATAGATTATCTAGCTGGTGAATGTCTGGTGCTGTGCACCCAAATATACTCACAGGTTAGCCAGAGACACAAACAGCAAACGCTTCAGCACGGCAAGAAAAGAAAAAAGACATGGCTGAGCCATGGACTTGGGGCCAGAGCAGGCCAGACACTGGGAATCATAGACTCACAGAGCTGGAAGGGACCTCCAGGGTCATCTAGTCCAACCCCCTGCACAATGCAGGACCATTCACAAATACCTCCCCCCCACCCCACCCACCGTGAACTCTGTTCCATGCCCAGAAGATGGCTTTAAAACAAAAACAAAACCCTCCAGGATCCCTGGCCAAACTGACCCGGGGAAAAATTGTTTCCTGACCCCCAAGTGGCGATCAGCATTTCCCTGGGCGTGTGAGAAAGGGCCACGAGAACTAAGCACTGAGGCATCCCTTCCTGCCCTTCCTTCTCATGATCTGCCTAAATTTGCAGAATCAGCATTGCGGTCAGATGGCCATCTAGCCTCTGTTCGAAAACCTCCAAAGAAGGGGAGCCCACCACCTCCCGAGGAAGCCTGTTCTTCCTAATGTTTAGTGCATTTACTATGTCTATTTCCCACTTCCTTCTAAGGAACTCAAGGCAATGCCACATATAGGAACATGTACATACACGAAGCTGCCTTAATCAGACCACTGGTTCACCAAGGTCAGTATTGTGTGCTCAGACTAGTAGCAGTTCTCCAAGGTCTCCAGCAGAGGTCTTTCACATCACCGACTGCCAGATCCTTTTAACTGGAGATAGCGGGGAATGAACCTGGGAACTTCTGCGTGCCATGCAAGATGCTCTGCCACTGAGCTGCCGCCCATCCCCAATGTCCAACTGAGTTCCCAGCGGGTCTCCCACCCAACACTGACGAGATGCAGATGTGTTTAGCGTCAGCAAGGGGGCCGCATCGTGGGCCTCTGGGCCCCACCTAAAGCATGCACGTGGCTCAGACAGCAAGGCCCTTCTCTTTCCCACCCTCCCTCCTCTCTGATTGGCTCCCACTGATGACGGTGGCTCCTCCCCTCACCAGGATGTCTAGGCAGGCTGCCTTGAGCAAGGTGATCTGGTCGGCAATGCTGAGAGTGGTGAAGCCCGGCAGGCGTTTGGCAAACTCCACGATCTTGATGATGCATTTGGTGGCCAGTTCACTGAACTTGTCCCACAGCCCCAGGTCCAGCTGTACCCTGTGATCTGCGCTGGAATTCTGGAGGAGGAGACAGAAGAGCGGGCATTAGGACCCTTTCCCCTTCACTGTGTGCACGTGACGCCCTGTTGGGTATTACAAGCAGTGTTCCCTCTAAGCTGAGTTGGTGTGAGCTAGCTCACAGTCTTTTAGCCTCTGGCTCACAGATTTTTGTCTTAGCTCAGGAAGGATGGCTCCAGATCGAACTAATTTATGCAGTGGCCAAATCGCTCACTCACAACTTTAATGCCAGTAGCTCACAAAGTAGGATTTTTTGCTCACAAGACTCCACAGCTTAGAGGGAACATTGATTACAAGTTGAAAACACTCAGTATATCTGGGGTTAAATGTTTGTTTATGTTACTCACAGGAAGTCACATGTTTCTCACGTAACCAATGTTCTTTAGATGTAAGAAGCCCGGGAATTTTCTCCCTGATCTAGGAGTTTGATTGGGACGAAAGTGTCAAAGTATTTTAGCATTTTATGGCTCCTCTTCCCGTCTTTGTTTGCAGTTCTCAAGAAGTAGAGGAGAGAGAAGCCATAACTCTCTTCTAGTTTTGTCTTTGTAGTGTAAGGATGTAGCCGATTTAGCTCTGTTGTTATTTTCATCCCAGTTACCCTTCCCCATGCTAGAATTTAGTAAACACTTTATATTTTAATCACACATGGACTCTCAGTCTGAATTATTTTACTCAGGCTCTGCTGGGCTATCTTATCTCTGCTAAATACCATTATTTTTTTCAATATCTCACTATCAAAACCCAACACGCCCTGACCTGGCTGGCCCAGCTGGCTAGCCTGATCTCATCGGATCTTGGGAACCAAGCAGAGTCGGCCTTGGTTAGTATTTGGATGGGAGGCCGTCAAGGGTATCTCACTATCAAAACCCAACACGCCCTGACCTGGCTGGCCCAGCTGGCTAGCCTGATCTCATCGGATCTTGGGAACCAAGCAGAGTCGGCCCTGGTTAGTATTTGGATGGGAAGCCGTCAAGGAACTCCAGGGTGGTTCCACAGAAGCAGGCGATGGTAAACCCACCTCTGCTCGTCTCTTGCCACGGAAGCCCTACAGGGCTGGTATACGTCAGCTGTGATCTGATGGGATGTTCCACCATCAGTCTATTAGCCTTGAACGGGATGGCCCAGGAGAGCCTGATCTCATCAGGTCTCAGGCGCTAAGCAGGGTCCACCCTGTTTACTACTTGGATGGACGACCACTAAGATAGTCTGGGGTTGCTTTGCAGAGGCAGGCAAACCACCTCTGAATGTCTCTTGCCTTTAAAACCATCATAAGTCGGTTGCAACACGATGACACTAAAACAATAACAACCATAATGTGTGCACAAGAAGATGAGGAGAAGCTTCGCAGCCAGTGTAACTCAGCAGTCCTCTCACCGGCCAGCATTTCTGCCCTGTCCTTTATAGCATCCCTGTTGGAAGCGGCTGATGCTGGCTGGGAACTCGGAAGCTATTCTGAAACATTCTGATCAGTCTTGAAACCCAACTTGGGCCCCGGGCTGGATATCGCGGGGGTGTGTGTGTGTGTGGCTGTTTGCCCCGCAGCGAAATAACGCACGACTGCGCGATCAGGCGTCCCCTCGCAGTCCTCTGGTTAGGGGGGAGGTGCCAATCACACGACGCGTCAAAGAAGCGGCGCGGCACCGCAAACGGGGTTGTGTGTGTGTTTTTTTTTAAACTGAAGTATGCGCATGCCCCATTGGGTGCTTGTGCACATCCCTGGAGACTTCGGGAAAAAAACCCCTTTTCACAATGGGGCATGGGCGGGCGCCGGATGCCACCGGAAACGCGGTCAGACACCTGCCCTTGCCCCGCGGTTTCCCGAAACTAGTACCTCCGAGGTACTAGTTTTTAACCGCGCATCTTTGGAGGGAAGCCTTGGGTTCGCCACGGGAGCTCTACGCTTCCCAGATGTGGCGATGAGATCGCGCCCGGAAAATCCGCCTATCTTCCGTCGCAGTAGCATGGCTACTGCCTTGCATTACTAGGCTCCCTGGCCATGTCCCCCCCCCCCCCCCCCCCCCCATTTTCCTTTTCCTTTTTGATTTTTTAAAAATGCCACAAACAGCACCAACAAAACAAGAACATGATGGGGGTCCCACTGGTACGACCTACTTCAGGTCAGAATGTGACCCAACTGAAGACCCATGCACTAGAATACCCTCACATTACAAGGAAAGGGTTGAATAGGAGTAGGTCAACACACTGCATCAATGAGGGTTCTGCTGACTGGGAAAAGGAACACAGAGACAAGGTCAAGCGGGCCTGTCTTGGTGGGGCATTCCTCAGCCTGGGTGCCACGACTGGAAAGGCCCTGTCGTTCTCACTTTACCATCTGCTCAGAAATCATTTTCTTGCTTCCTGATTAGCAGTCTTTTTACAGAGGTGTCTTTTCACGCTCATTCCCTGACTGGCACTCATCCAGCAATTTGGCTGTGCCCAAAGTTGGAATAATTGAAGGGGGCGGGGGTAGCTGTCACCTAAACTCAACAAATAGAAGAGAAGATGTCGAACTTGGTCCAATGCATGAGACTTGTGAAAGAGGGGAAATATATACGAAAGCAAAGTCTAGAGGATACAAGCGGCCTATGCTCCGTCCTGTCTGTTATTCCTCATGGCAACCCTTCAGAAGCTGAAGAGCACCTGTGGTCCTTACCGTGGTATATTTGCCCAACTGGCAGAGCGAGGGGAAGGTTTCCTGGTGAGCCTTGCTAACCTTCTGGATAAGCTCTTCCAGTTCCGGCGTCATTTCGTAGCTGTCCACCACCACCTCCTCTTTCACGTCCTTCTTCTTCTTGTTGCGGTCGTTCCTCACGGCTGAAAGGAGACAGAGGGCGGGTGGGAAGGTGAGATGACTTGCCAGTATCCTGAACCAGACCAGCTATTATTTCCCCAGTCGTTATGATCTGACTGCATCCATTCTTAATTTACTTCTGCTGAGGTCAGGTGACCAGGCAGGGTTTCTCCCGAGTCATTCTCAGACCGCACAGCGGGTCCTGGCTCCCTTCCAAGGGTTGGTGGAGAGGGTACTGTCTAGACCCAGATTCGTATAAGTGGTTACAGTGACAGACTAGGACCCGAGAGAGACCCGAGTTTGAGTCCCCTTTCTGTCATGGGAGACAGCTGGGTGACATTGGCGCAACCTAACCTTCCTCTCAGGGTCATTGTTGTGAGGATAAAATGGAGGGGGGGGGGAATGATGGTGTAAGGCACTATGTGAAGAAAAGGGGGGTATAAATATATCCAGATAAATAAATACAGCCGGCAGGTCATGTCAAATACCAAATCGTTTTCAAAGTGCTTGTCGACCCTCTAGTTCAGGGGTCCCTAACCTTTCTGAGCCTGAGGGCACCACTGGAATTCTGACACAACATGGTGGGCCCAGCCCCAAAATGGCTGCCACGGGAGGCAGAGCCAGCCCCAAAATGGCTGCCTCAGCTGACCTTCAGTCGCACAAGTGAAGATCTTTGTGCTGTGGTGGCAGCTGATGCCAAAGCAACATTTTTAAAAACCTTCAAAGCCAATCAAATCTCCAGTGGCCAATCAGAAACCTTGCTGGGGAAAGCCCTGCCTGCCCTTGCCCACTTTCTAAAAGCACTTGGCGGGCACCAGGAAAGGTGTCAGTGTGTGCCCGGGTGCCCTGGCACCCACGGACACCGGGTTGGGGACCCCTGCTCTAGTTCTTCTCCCATTACACTTCTGGGTGGCTTGTGGATACTGCTGATGATCCTGTTTCAGTGACCTTGTTGTAATATCATTACAATAATAGAGTGGTCAAAACAGGGCTGCCAGCAGCCGCCCAGAACACCACGTGCCTGGAATAATGTCTGGGGGACAGCAGAGAGAAGGGTGGCTATCTGGAGAGCTCTCAACTGGCCAGTCCCTGCCAGATCAGTTTTAGCCTCGGCGGCACGGCTTGGTCTTCGACAGGTGCCTCTGCAGGGGGAATGTCAACAAGTGCACTTTCTCCCTTCTCTGTGGCTTTATGAACAGAAAGGCCAGCTATCCACCCTGCCACCCTGCTGTGAAAAGAAGAAGAAGAAACCCACTTGTGGATCCATAAATTAGCCATCTCATCCAGATCGCAAGCCCCTCCCGTTCCCTCGCCGCTGACATCGCCAGGTCCTCCCAAGGCCAAGCGCGTGCCAAGCTGTCACGAAAGGGCTTGGAGAGCGGCGCTCAGCCGGAGACAAACAGGAAGAAACAAGCAAGACAGCCGGATAGAGAGGAGAAGAGCTGCTGGGCTTGGACGGGGAGGGAGCAGCTGGTGTTGCTGTCCCCACCCAGTGAGGACTGCTTCCCCTGCCCCGGTGGGAATAACAATAACCAAGGTCACGTCTCCTCCAAGCTGCGAGGAGGAGGTGCCAGCCCTACCCGGATGAGCCTAACCCACGGGCGGCGCTTTGGGGGCTGCTTCTCACACGCTGGCACACGCTGGGGTGGATCCAACCGGCTGTTCCGTTGGCAGAAAAGGGAGGAGGGGATTCCCTCCGACCAGACCACCAAAAAAGACTAGGCTGGGGACTTGCATGGAGAAAAGCCATGTGGGACACGGACTGTGATAAGAAGGGACATTGGGGGACGCTGGACAAAAAAGGCGGGTGGATCCATCCCACTCTTTCTGTAGGTCTGGGCAGGCAGAGATTTACTAAATCCCTGGCTTGGCTGGCATGCATGTCTGACGGGCATCTTCAGCGTTTTCCTGGCAATTTCCAAATGGACCAGGGCGCCTCTTTTAGCGCCTGTGCTTGTGAACAACAGTGAATGAGAGGGAACGTTCAGAGCCTGGATGCCATAAACAGAATTCCCAGCATTTTTTTTTGAAAACCAGATGTGTAGAGGCCCAGTTTGAATCAGGACCACAGCACAAGAGGAGGGAAAGTTTAAAAGGCCTCCCTTGTACTGTTTTCCAAATCTGAAACGGCCCTAGGGAGCCAATGTTTGCCTCACTGAGGCAGGTGCACACATATCTGTATCAGCACCCCAAATAGTGGCTCCTCCAAGGATATTTCAGGTTGGGAAAATGGGGGGGGGGCCCCCTAAGGCTTCCACATGCCTAATTTTTCAAGGGGAGCTGCGGTGGCTCAAGTGGTTAAGACACTGAACTGCAGGCTGTCGAAGGTCAGTAGTTCAGCAGTTCGAGACCTGAGTTGCCGCATGACGGAGTGAGCTCCCGTCTCTAGTTCCAGCTCCTGTCAACCTAGCAGTTCGAAAGCAAGAAATTGCAAGTAGATAAATAGGTACCACTTCGGCGGGAAGGTAACAGCGTTCCATGCGCCTTGGTGTTTAGTCATGCCGGCCACATGACCACGGAAAATGTCTTCGGACAGCGCTGGCTCTTCGGCTTTGAAACGGAGAGCAAGGGAGCCTTTACCTTTACTTTTTAATTTTTCAAGGGACAAACAAACAAATGCTGGGCGCATCATGTGTAGCTGAGCCCACAGCTGGAGTTAGACATGACAAACCAAATGAGAATGAAGTAAAGTCCTGTGATTCATGCCCCGCCCACTCCAGTTTTCTGGCACAGCACTGAAACTGCAAACCAGGGATTCTTCAAGAAACTGCGATTTGTTGTCAGGTTTCGTTCTTTGCTTGTAAGCCGGGATTCTAAACCTGGGTTCATTCGTGGTTTGAAAGCATGAAGCAAGCCACAGTTTGTTGAAGCGGCTCGTCTGAACATGAAAACAAATTGTGTTTTATTGAAGAATGCCTGGTTTGCAAGCTGGGGGCTGCATGGAAAAGGAAGGAGAATGCAAGTCCAAGGACTATGGCTCATTCCCATCACAAGCAATCCTGTTATTTGTTTCTGAAGTGGGGATAACGGGGAGATTACTTTGGTTTAACCTCAGCCTGCCTCTGCTTTAGCAGGACTCAGAAGAATGCATGGAATTATCCTTTCCTATGCATACATTCATTTTATCTTCTCAAAATGTCATAAATAACATGGTGTGTATAGAACCCCCAATTTCTTTCTCCTTTTTTGGGGGTATTTTTGCATTTGTGTGTGTGTGATGGTGACCTCTGGCGACTCCTACTGGGGCCTCGAGGATGTTCAGAGAAGTGGTTTGATAGCCTGCCTTTGCCTCCCAACCCTGGTATTCTCTGGAGGTCTTCCATCCAAATACTTGCCAGGGCCGGCCCTGCTTAGCTTCTGAAATCTGGTGAGATTGGGCAAGCCTGGGCTATCAGGGCACAATCCCCAGTTTCAGTGTGGAGAAAAACTGTGGCAGAGTGGCTGGACTCGGACCTTGGAAACCCAGGTTCAAATCCCCCCACTTGCCAGGAAATTCACTATATTCTCAGGCTAACCTATCTTACAGGGTTGTTGTGAGAATAAATGGCAGGAGAGGACCACATGTGCCACCCTGACTCCTTGAAGGAAAGGCAGGGCAAAAATGCAGCAGGTAATAAACAATGTACACTGACTGTATATTAATCATTCTTTTGTACACTAAGTCGGTTTGGGTGAAAAGCATTAAAAGAGTAGTTAAAAAACGCTTGTGCGTGCTGTGGAGATTTTTAACCTGTCATGGATTAAGAGTACAGAATGAGAGGATGGGAAGTTATTCCAGACACTCGGGTTAGTTATCCTTCCCAATAACTATCTTTTTATATTCATTGTCCAAAAAGAGTGTCAGAGTAAGGTCTGGGAGACCCCGGTTCGAATCCCGACTCTGCTGTGGAAGCTCACTGGGTGAATTCAGGCTAATCACTGTCTCTTCACCTAACCTACCTCACAGAGCTGTTGTTGCAAGCCTAAGTGGAGGAAGGGGAGAATGGTATAGTAAGCTGCTTTGTGTCCGTCACTGAGGATGCAGGGGGGGGGTTATAAATAAACAAACAAACACAGAAAGATCAAAGTGGTTAAAAATAGTATAGTGCCATATATGACTTTATGAAGATTGGAAAGACTTTAAACAATATTTAGCGACCAAATGGGATGTAGCCAATAATCTGTTGTGTTTTGAAGAATATTCGAAACGAAAATCTATAGCTATAAGGAAAGTAGTTACGTGAAGAATATTAGAAATGAAAATCTATAGGTATAAAGAAAGAGATTACCTATTGGTAAGATATAAGTTATAGAGTAAATAACAAAAGTTAGAAGAAAGTGATAAATAAAAATGTTAAGAGGGAATATGTTAAGATAAAAATAAATGACCGGATGTAAGCATTGCGGGAAGCCAAGCAAGGGGGGGGGGAGGGTGGTATGAAGAAAACAAAAATTAGGGATATTTGAACTGTATTATAAGGATATAAATGTTTATGATGAATTATATTATCCCGAAAATAAAAGTGTTTTAATTAAAAAAAAATAGTATAGTGCCAGATTCTCTCCCCCCCCCCTCTGTTCTTTCAATGCATACTTATGTAAAGTCAGGGATTTTTAAATATGCAGACTCCTTGGGAAAAGGATGTGGTTTTGTGTGTTAAGTGGCGATGGAAGGCAAGGCTTGTCCAGGAAGAATCCCAGGTTTGGGAGAGTAGCAAAAGGCCATCTGGCTCAGCCCCCTGCCCTGAGAAGGGGACTGTGGTCTCCTCAGTGCCCCATAGATCAGCTTACACAAACCAGACCACAGCACGCTGCAGTGGGGAGAGCTGGCGGCAATGCTAAAGCAACCAGGTCCAGAAATCTCAAAAGGGGGGGGGCAGATCCCTGGCCGTCTCCTCCTCCTGGGACAGGGCAGGAAGAGGCCGAGGGGACCGAAAGGAGATGTTCCGGTCTACATGACAAGATAACCTGGCTGCATGTCGAAATGGTGAGCCCCCCCCCCCCCCCCCCCCCGCCTTCCCTGCAAACCCTCCTCCCTCTTTGAGTGTTCGGCATTGCGTGTGCACTCTCGCCGGCCTCAGCCTTCCCAGGCTGCCCTTCCTGTTCACCCCAGGATAAAGCGCCAGGGATCTGGGAACAGGATACGCCAATCGGCAGGATATACACTTATAGCCACAGTCAGCACAATGCTGGGGGGGAGAGTGGGGGGGGGGGGGGATTCCCAGCCGAGCCATCCAGATCTCTGGAGGGCAGATAACATGGAAGCAGCACACACATGTATTTAAAAAAAAAAAACACAACCCCACTGCCTTAGAGCATTTCCCCTCCCCATTCCTTGGTTAGTCTGCTTCGAGTTTCCAACACTACTCCCCCCCCCTTAGGCCCAAACCCTGTTTGAGTCTAGATGGGCTACAGGGAAAGGGAGGAGGGACCCTTGGCCCAAATCCCTCAGGCCATCCGTTTCCTGTCTCCTCAGTGACAACCCTCTTAGGGGGTTAACATTCTCCCCGCGGCCTCCCTCCCCTTCCCCAATTCTCCGCCTGATTCTCTCTCTCTCTCTCTTTAAAGTGACAGGGCTTTGGAAATAAATTGCCCAGGTTTCAAGCCATAGACATTCCTAATTAGGGGCTCTTAAAGAGATGGTGATTAATGCGAGCCCGGGCCCGGGCCGGCTGCGGAGGCATGCCTTAGCAGTCGGGAGTAAAAGCAACAGTCGCTGAGAGGCACTCTGTCTCAGGAAAGGCTGGGCAGTTGACAGCGCTCTTAAAGGAGATGTGAACAGTTAGAGCGGTTCCTCAGTGGAACAGGCTTCCTCAGGATGTGGTGGGCTCTCCTTCTTTGGAGGCTGTCAAACAGAGGCTAGACGGCCATCTGACAGCCATGTGGATTCTGTGAACTTGGGCAGGTCATGAGAGGGAGGGCAGGGAGGGTTGCCTCAGTGCTTTGTTCTTGTGGCCCTTTCTTACGTGCCCAGGTAATGCTGATTGCACTTTGGGGTCAGGAAGGGATTTTCCTCCAGGTCAGATTGGCCCAGGGTTCCTAGAGTTTTTCTGCCTTTCTCTGGGCACAGAGCAGGGGTCATTGGGAGAATGGGTGCGTAGCTGTGAATTTCCTGCATTGAGCAGGGGGTTGGACTAGATGGCCCTTGGGATCCCTTCCAACTCTATATTTCTATGAAATCCTTCTCCCCCCACCCCGCCCAAGCAGGTGTAGCAACAAACCAAGTGCCTCTTGTGAAGCAAGGCTCTTCTCCAAAGGAGAGCTTGTGGAATCGCTTCACTTTCAAGGAATACACGTGGAAAGCTGTTCATTCGGACAGAAAAAAAATATCAATGTGGATTTTTTTTTTTTAAACGTCTGTGGGGGAAATAAAACGGCAGGCAGGCATCTTAGCCTCCCACCCAAAATACCTTTCTTGAAAAACCCAGGTCTCTTTTCAGTTCTGAAGTAGCCTTTCCCAAATGTTTTCCATCAAGAGGAAATCCATCCAAGTGCGCAACCATGGAAGAAAACATTACGGGTGAAACCAGATATGGAAAGCAGATGGCCGGGCAAGGAGTCCCTAGTCCACAGGAACTAGAGATCCCTTTGACGCTCCGATCAGGACCGGGTGCGCTTGGAGATGCGTCGGCGACTGTAGCTGGGCAACACGGGGCTTGGTATCAGGTACCAAAAAAGAAACCTCAACCCTATGCATCCAGCCGCCAGCCCTGAGCGGCAGAAGCCTGGTGGAGAATGCGGAAGGCATGCATGCAGGCGCAGGCTGTTCCACAGTAAGGAAGTTTCAGATTCAGAAACGGAGGGTTTGTTTGGACAGGCCACAACTCTCTGAAAGGGGACTAGGGTGGCTCCCACAATTCGACATCCAAACTAGAGCAGTTTTTTGAGGGGCGGGGGCATCTAAAGGACATCATCCCTGTCTGGCACATCCCCTACTTTGATGCGATCGTTCTCAAACTTGGTTTGACACAATCTTTTTGGAAAGGTCACAGTTTAAAGCACTTCTGCACACTGTGTGGACGGGAAGAGGTGTGTTTTTGAATCCCTGCCTACATCAAATGCCATTTTACTTGGTCTCAACGCCTGCAGCCACCAACAATAGAGGGCTTTTCGGGCTTTCACTTTATTGGTTTGCTGAATTTATATCCCAGCTTTCTCCCCAATGGGGGACCCCAAGGTGGCTCATATAATGCTCCTCTCTTCCATTTGATCCTCACGACCTACAACCCTCTTGGGCTGAGAGTGTGTGACTGGCCCAAGGTCACCCAGCAAGCTTCCAGGGCAGAGTGAGGATCTGAACCTGTGTCTCCCAGATCCTAGTCTGATGCCCTAACCCAGGGGTGTCGAACTCATTTGTTATGAGGGCCGGATCTGACATAAATGAGACCTTGTTGGGCCGGGCCACGTGTGTCATAAAATGTAATGCCAGGTAGCGGAGATATAAATTTATAAAGGTCACAAACAGAAAGGGTTTTTTTAACTTAAAATAAAAACATGCTTAAAACATTAGCACTCTTGCAATATTTTGTTTATTTAACAGTGTCTGGTAACTGACACCTCTTGCTCTGAATTATTGCATCAAAATGTCTGTGCTGTTGCAGTCCTGAGTATGCTGTTCAAATGTGTATGACGCAGCAGCAGCAGAACTGAAAGAAGATGCAGAAGACAGCCAGTTCCACTGTGGGCCTGATAGAAGTCCTCCAGGGACCTGATCCGGCCCCCGGGCTGCATGTTTGACACCCCTACCCTAACCTCTACACCACACTGGCAATTGCAAGGCCGCTGCAGCACAATACCATTATAACGATCCATTGCCCTGATCTACTAATTCCTTTGAATTCCCGGCTTTCTTCTTCTTTTTTTTAAAGTCATTCTGCAAAGGGCTAGAGACTTGCTTGATTTTTTTAAATGAAAGATGGGAATTCAAAGGAGCTAGTAAAGCTATATGGCCTGAGAAGGCTGGCCCAGGCTAGCCTGATCTCGTCAGATCTTGGAAGCTAAGTAGGGTCGGCCCTTGTTAGTACTTAGATGGGAGATTGCCAAGGGAGGGCAGAGACAGGCAATGGCAAAGCATCTCTGAACATCTCTTGCTTTGAAAAACCACGAAGGGTCACCATAAGTCGGCTGCAACCTGGTGGCGCTTTCCACGACCAGTAAAACTATAGTGACCTGGCAACTGCTAATTTTTAAAAAGTGGAGGATAAATGGTGGTGGAGGGCAGATGGTGGACACGAGAGGGGGCCAAGGCAAGGACAGTGCCACGAAAACTGCTGTGGGGGTACTGCTTTGCCACTGCAAACACCTCTGCATTCACCGTGGCAATAAAAGCCATGCTAAGAATTGTTGCTTTGTCCACTGCCTGGCAAACTGTGGGTGCCCAAGTCATGTGAAACCGAGGCAGGCTATCCTGGATTTGGTTGTCCAAGTACAAATCCGCCACCACCCCACACACAACCAATGTGTCCAAACCCTGCAGCAGGTGCTCACCTTCCTTAGACATGCCAACCTCAAAGCACTTCTGGAGACGGCAATACTGGCAGCGGTTGCGAGTGACTTTGTTGATCTGACAGTTCTTGTCCCGGTGGCAGGTGTACACCATGTTCTTCTGAATGCTTCGTCGGAAGAAGCCCTGAAGGGTCCCAGAGAGAGAGAGAGACAGTGAGAGATCTCTCACCTATACTGTCCAGAATGAAGTTCCATATAATAAAGAACTATCTATTAGTTTGGAATCTGACTACTGGCTCTGTGTAACTTTAAGACCGACAACATTTTATTCGTGGTATAAGCTTTCGTGTGCAAGCACACTTTGTGCTTGCACACAAAAGCTTATACCATGAATAAAATGTTGTTGGTCTTAAAGGTGCCACTGGGCTCAAACCGTGTTCTGCTGCTTCAGACCAACACGGCTTCCCCACCTGAATCTGTGTAACTTTGAAAGCTTGCAAGCACACTCGGCACCAAGGCTTTGCTGCGTTGGAATGCCTTGCGAACTCTCAGCTACACTGATTGGGATTCCTAGCTCTACTAAAACCACAGAATCCAACAAGAGGTGAGCAGGTGGATGAGGAGAAAGAAAAGGCGGGTCCGAGCAGAGCTTTCTCCAACCCCATTTCCCCCGTAGCACAAGACGGCTGCTGGCCAACCTGCTTGGAGAGGGAGCCACTCAGCACCTCTGCAGAGGTTTCCAGACGGGCGATGTAGCGGTTAGGGTGCCAGATCAGGATCTGGGAGGCCTCGGCAACAAATCCTCACTCTGCCATGGAAGCCCACTGGGCAAGTCACTCTCTCTCACCGTAATGCTTCTCTCAAGGGTGTCACAAGGAGGAAACAGAGGCAGGGAGAAGGATGTGCACCACATGGAGGAAAGGTGGGGTAAAAGGGGACCAGTAAATGCTTCCTAGGATGAAATTTAAATCTCACGGTAAGGTCAGTTTTGAATCTTTAGCTGCACAGGTGTCCAGATACAAAGGAGATAAGGAGTTGCCCTATATCAGGGGTCCTGCGGAAGCGGGCTGGGCCCATAACCCTGAAATTCCTAACAGGTCCCCTGCCTATGGGCACCATGGCAGCTGCCGATACCTCTCCTACAGCCCTCCAACTGTTTTTAGAAAGTGGGTGGGGCCAAGTGGGACTCCTGCCCATCAGGGCTTCAGATTGGCCACTGGAAATCTGATTAGTTGTGCAGATTACAATAGCTTTCTTTTGGCGCCAGCTGCCACCAGGGTGTTGGTTTTATCCTCTCTCATGCCTCTTTAGCAGTGTATTTTTTTAAAAAAAATTACTCCTCATATCCTCTGCATTTTGGCATTCAGGTGTGTGGGCTGGCCTACCACAGTGGCCATTTTGTGCTTGACGCCATCTCCCATGGTGGCCATTTTGTGGTTGTGCCCCTCCAACCCTGTGTCAGAATTCCAAAGGTGCCCAGAGGCTCAAAAAAAGTTAGGGACCCCTGCCTAATACCAAGTCTGAACCCCTGGCTCATATCAAGTCTGAACATCAGTCTATCGAAGCCAGGGGTCCCCAACCCCGTGCCCGCCTACACCTTTCCTGACACCCACCAAATGCTTTTTTAAAGTGGGTGGGGCCACATGGGTTTTTTTGCCCAGCAACACTCCTGATTAGCCTCTGGAGATTTGATTGGCTGTGTAAATTTTTTTAAAAATGTTACTTTGGCAGCAGCTGCCAGCGCAGTGCACGGCTCTTCACTGTGTGACTGAAGGTAAGCTGTAGGGTAAGCCGTTTTGTGGCTGGCTCTGCCACCTGCTGTGTCAGAATCCCAAAAGTCCCCACAGGCTAAAAAATTTGGGGCCCCTGGTCTAAGTGAAAGACTGTCTGAAATGGCATCAGCTCTTGAGGACCTCAGACAGAGATTCATTCTGAGGGGGTGCAGGGGCTAGACCTAGGAAGCCCCTCAACCACCAAACTGACTTGGTGGACTTAAAACAAGGCACTTCCAACCTTTGTAGCTTCCAAGGTGAGAACAATACCAGCCAGCTTCACGGGGCTGTTTTAAGGATTACTGCAGTTAATGCCTAAAAAAGGGCTTTGAATACACAGCATTAATACGCCAAGGCCTATAGCCTATGCCTAGCACCCCATGGGTGTTCAAACTTCAAAGCTACAGAAGGAGAGGATGTTACTCCAGGGACCCAGATTAGTTATCCCTTCACACCGTTTTACACACTCTCAATCGAACCAACCTTACAGGGTCGTTGTGAAGGTAAAATTGAGAAAAATCTAAGCCATTTTAGGTCCCCAGTATGGAGAAAGATGGGGTACAAATTAAGTAAATAAATAAAGTCCTCTTCAGGCAGAGCAGGATGCAATACTACATCGGGTCCTGCTGTTGGCAAGCAGAAGTATGGGGATCGGCCAGGACTGTTTAACTACCGGGAACCTGAGTCTTGGCTGCTCTTTTAGCACGCTATCTTCCACCTGCTCCAGCTCAAGCCCTCCTAGACTGACAGCTTCTTCTGACCTCAGGGAACCTGTGTCAGAGAATACCGTGGCTGGGTCTAATAAGGCTGCCCTGGGTCTGTGGCCTGGCCTGACCCTCAGGGCAATAGGAGGACGGTACAGAGCAGAGGCCAGCAACCTTTGATAATCAAAGAGCCCGGCCATGTCGAAATTCAGACCGAGCGAAGGACTCGGAGCCACTGTGAGAAAGTCAGGTTTTTAAACAGAAAATATATAGATTCAGGTGGGCAGCCGCCTTGGTCTGAAGCAGCAGAACAAAGTTCGAGTCCAGTGGCACCTTTAAGACCAACAAAGTTTCATTCAAGGTATAAGCTTTCGTGAGCACGCACACTTGTATCTGAAGAAGTGTGAGCGCACAGGGAAGCTTATGCCTCGAATAAAACTTTGTTGGTCTTAAAGGTGCCACTGGACTCGAACTTTGTTCTTCGGAAAATATATAGTTGGACACTACAGATAATGTACCTGTCGATTATTTAATCTGTAAAGCTTTGGCAGCCCAGACACAGCAGTCGCCACGAGGCCTTTAATTAGCAAGTGACACACACAAGTTCTCACTTTCAGTAGAAAACATACACAGGAGAACCCTGTGCCACTGGTTTCAGGGGACTCGCATAAATCTGCATGTGGTTCTCACTTGAACAGCTGGCAACTGTTCGCTGCTATAATTTCCCTTTCTGTAAAGCATCTCTAAAGAGCTCTTTAGTCCCACAACTACCAAGCTAGTCATTCCAGCATCCCCTGTACCCTTCTGATATGCCCCAACGGAAGGGTGTTGCACTCCTTGGATAACAACACGCTGGTGATCCCCGGCCCTAAGGATATCCGTCTGTCCTCGGCCAGGGCCTTTTTGGTCCTGGCCCCAACCTGGTGGGACTCTCTGCCAAATACCATCAGGGCCCTGCAGGACCTCACGCAATTCCGTAGGGCCCGCAAGGCAGAGATGTTCCGCCAGGCTTTTGATTGACGGCAGTGATGGTTTTCACCTCGACTGGCACCCTCCTCAGTTTTCCGTGATCGTTTTGACTTCTTCCCCCCCGCCCGTGAAACGGCCAGCAGTCTGTAATATGGGAATAACTAATTATCAGGATTATTATTGCCATCTGTCTTTTAACGTAATTTAACATGTTCTGTTTTTTTATCTGGCTGTTGTTTTAATGCTATGTACATTATTATTGTTGTTGTTGTTATAAATAATAATAATGTTCATCTTTTTTTAGAAGAGTCATATTTCTCTGTATATAACCGTTTTTTAAAAAAAAAATAGGTGCAGAATTTTAAATTACTGGAGTTGGTTTTAGCCACGTGACAACCAGGACAGTTGCACCGGGACTCATGGTGGGTAGAGCCACACTGGGAGCCCCCAACTGCCCTGCGGCCAGCTGCCTCAATCACTACCCTGACACAGGGGGGATCCAATGTAGGCCAGTTGGGGGTACTTGTTGGGAGTTACAAGTTAAAACACTGTTCAGTATTTACTGGGTTAATACTGTTTACTAAATCACATGTTTGTTTGTAACCAATAAGTTTAGAGAGCTAGAAAGCCCGGTAACTACAGATCTAGTTTGTTGTTCTGATTGGAGACGAGAGTGGCTAGTATTAGCATTTTATGGCTCTTTGTCCTGAGCAAGAAGAAGTTAACTCTCGTCCACTCTCCGTTAGGCTTCTGCCATGTTCTGTCTAGCTGCAAGGATGTAGGAATATAGCTCTTTGTTATTTTACATCCCGTATACCTTTTCCCCATGCTAGGTTGTAGTAAACTTTTATATTTTAAAACACACCATGGACGCTGACTCTTTAATACTCTGCTGAATGCTGATTACTCTGCTGATTAACTTTAGAAATTAATAACATATGACTCCAACAGTACTGACCTCCAGATGGGATTGCCAACTGCCAGGTGGGCCTGGAAATCTCTTGGAATCACGACTGATCTCCAGACCACAGAGACTAGTTCCCCTGGAGAAAATGGCTGCTTTGGAGGGTGGACTCTGGGGTATTATACCTAGCTGAGGTCCAGGGACATTTTGGGGCCACGCCCCCTCAGTCGTGAGCTCTGCCCCATCCGTAGCCAGCAAGGGGAAGAAGGCTGCCACAGCCCCCCCCCCACCTGCAGCCAGCAGAAGAGGAAGGGGATTTGGATTGGTGGTGGCAGCCTCACTGCGCCTGCGCCAGCTGAGCCAGCCCAGGTCCCATGATGGCGTTTCCTCTTCTGCTGGCTGCAGGCGGGGGAGCAGTTCTGTTGGGCAGCTTCCAACTCATCGCTCGAGCGACATTTAAATGGGGGGGGGTGTGTCACTGGCTGCGGGCCGGCTCGCTGCTTGTCACCTGAGCTGTGTTTAAATGGGGGGGGGGGGTATTCTGCAGGTTTACTTTTATAATTTAAACATTTTTGCCAGTGCCCCCGCCAACGAAACTTTCCTGGCTATGGGTCTGCTGAGGTCCCTTCCCTATCCAAATGCTGCCCTTCAGAGGCTTCCCCTCCAACTCTCCAGGAATTTCCCAACCCAGAGTTGGCAACCCTACCCCCAGCGGACTACCCTCCCCACCTCACTCTGAATGATTCCGGAGCCCCTCCTCGAGTTCTGCCCAGGCCCCGAGAGAATCACGAAGACCGTCCCTGCAAATTCTGCAACAATTACTCTAACATTCTACAAGTGGTGTAAAGGATACGACTGAAACAGACAATGGCTTGTTTTGCACATTTCCTTTCTGCTTGCATAATCTGTTTGGGGCTGTGGCCCGCAGCTTGGAATTCTCCGCTGCAACATTTTTTGCTGGGGAGGGAGACGTTGCCAGCCACACCCTCTCAAGAGGAACAGTTGCAGGCACAAAGCCTCGCTTTGGAACAGAGATTTTTGTCAAGTCGGGCTAGGAGGAGGCCGGAGCCAGGTATCTGGAAAGTATATTCTTGTCCTGAAAGCTTGGAGGCTTGCGTTACTCACCTTGCACCCCTCGCAGGAGCTGACTCCGTAATGGTAGCCAGACGATTTGTCGTTGCAGACGAAGCAAGGTTTGTAGACACGTGGGGGCGGGGGCGGAGAGGGGGAGCTGGGCACCATCTCCTCCGAACTTGTGCTCTGGGTCTCCACCGCTGCAGAGAGAATAAAGGGACCGTCAGACAGAAACGGGGGCTTTGTACATATATACAAAAAACATTGGTGAAATGAACGAAAATAAGCTTGCAGGCAGTATAAACCCAGCGCCCGGGGGTTTTATTGGACTGCCATCATTTATAAATGCATTGGTTCAGATTTGTATCAGAATTGTTTGATTATTTTATCGCTTTGTTGTGACCCGCCCTGAGCCCGCTTGTGGGAGAGGGCGGGATAGAAATCTCATGAAATAAAATAAATAAATTCCATTTTTTAAATGAAGTTTCTAGTCCTCGAGGTTATGGGGAGGGGGTATCAAACTCTGACAAAATAGCGGAAGAGCAAACTGCTACGGCCACAGATGCATCTCTTCCCCCCCCCCCGCCGCCCACCCCTACCTCCAGGGTCAACCCAGATTATGTAGCTACATGCTTTCTACATGGTAAATACACATTTAAAGCTAGAGTTCTCACCAGTGAAGGAAAAGCTACTGTAAGGGGAAAGAACAACATTCTAGGGAGCCACAGGGGGGCATTCTTCCCGTGCCAGAGTTGCATTAGTGCCACAACCAACAGATCCTTACAAGACGCAAATACACGGAAACATGCCCACATGCCTCTCTGTGGAACAGATTAGTATCACAATCCACTGCCCTGAATAGCCCAGGAAAGCCCACTCTCATCACACCTCAGAAGCTAAGCAGGGTCAACTTTCAGAAGTACTTGGATGGGAGACCTCCTTGGAATACCACCAGTCGGGAGGCAGGGGCAGGCTTTATTCAGCCACCTCTCTGAATATCCTCCAGGCCCCCAGCAGGGTCTGAGAGCCAGTCTGAGAGCCAGTTTGGTGTAGTGGTTAGGTGTGCGGACTCTAATCTGGGAGAGCCGGGTTTGATTCCCCACTCCTCCACTTGCACCTGCTGATGTGACCTTGGGTCAGTCACAAGCTCTGGCACAGGTGTAACTGAAAGAGCAGTTTGTGTCAGAGCTCTCTCAGCCCCACCCACCTCACAGGGTGTTAGTTGTGGTGAGGGGAAGGGAAAGGAGTTTGTAAGCCGCTCTGAGACTCCAACTGAAGGGCGGGGTATAAATCCAATTTCCTCCTCCTCCTCCTCCTCCTCCTCCCCCTCCCCCTCTTCTTCTTCTTCTTCTTCTTCTTCTTCTTCTTCTTCTTCTTCTTCTTCTTCTTCTTCTTCTTCTTCTTCTTCAGGGGTCAGTCACCAGAGGTCGCCATGACTTCCAGGTGTGTGCGCGCGCACACACACTCGCACATATGAAAAAATATAAAAAATATCCCCATATACACAAAAACTCATACACATGAACAGACATGAAGTTGCTTTGTACTGCACCAGGACAATAGACTGGCAGAGGCTCTCCAGGGTCTCAGGCTGAGGTCTTCCACATCACACACAACCTGCTCCTTTTCACTGGAGATGCCAGGGACTGAACTGGGGACCTTCTGTATGCCAGACAAACGCTCTACCACTGAGCCACAACGGCTCCCCTAATCCTTTGAAATGAATTAGCTTAGATTTAGGTAACTCCGCACAGGATTGCAGTGACAACGAGGTCAAGGCGTGCTGTAGGAATGAATACTGGGATAAGGGGCAGGAGGAACGTCAACTCCTGAGCGAGGTCTGAAAGGCACATGCGGCACCCGGCACGTGACCTCTTTGGCAGCCAATACAAGGGTGTAATAGCGCCCCGGCTTATAATGATTTTTGCGACTTTTGCATGGGAAAGACTGACCTTTGAAGATTTAGCCCTCTCTCACACACACGCACATGCACACTCGCCTCTTGCCCTCACCGTGACCCACAAGGCCTGGCCACATCTCCCTCGGCCCCCTTGGGAGCGCTCCCCCCCCACGCACACACCCAACCCCAGCAAGGCATGAAAACTGTTTGCAGTCCTAGCTTTCAACGCAGACTGAATTTCCTGTGACAAGGCCCTTAAGTGGCACATTCCAGGCCAAACAGGTTGGAATTGTTACCAGAGCTGTGTAACCTAATCCCTTTCCCTGGGGGAGGGAGGGAGGGGGGGAGGGAATCGCCCTGGCCAAGTTAGAAAAGTTCCCTGGAAGGGGGCGGGCGGGCACAGGGAGGGGACTGAACTTGGGACCTTCTGTATGCCAGACAAACACTCTACCACTGAGCCACAACGGCTCCCCTAATCCTTTGAAATGAATTAGCTTAGATTTAGGTAACTCCGCACAGGATTGCAGTGACAACGAGGTCAAGGCGTGCTGTAGGATTACAGTCCACACACACACACACACACACACACACACACACACACACACACACACACACAGAGAGAGAGAGCCCGACTCTGCTTTGTTATCTTTCCACTGTCTGCAAAGACCACTCCAGCCTGGCTCTGGCACAGGCTTGTTTGCAAAAGCCAACCTGCCCTTTGCAGCCGTTCTGCTGTAAGATAACACACACATACACAGTTCTAGTCCCACCGCTCCCAACGTCTCTTGTGCCCAGTCCTTAGGAGAGACCTGCCGATAAACAAATCCAGCAACTCCACCCCACAAATAACTCTCCAATAAACATCCAAGGCTCCATGGCAATGACAACTCATGGATGCATGGGAGGGGGGAGCCCCTTTCTGAATGACTCTGCAATAAACAAGCCAATGCAGCAGGCAGCCTGGAGCAAGGCAAAAGCACTGCAAACAGCTGTTTCACTGACCAGAATCATCATTATCATTGCTGGCAGAGTGATGTGTCAGCCCGGAAAAGGCATGGTTTAGGCCCGCGAGGCAGGCTCTTTAAGATCTCGGATTCCTTATTATTGTTTAAACAAAAGGACAGGTTTCTAGCCCTTGTGGAGGAGAAGGAAATTAGATTTATACCCCGCCCTTCACTACCCGAAGGTGTCCCAGAGCGGCTTACAAACTCCTTTCCCTTCCCCTCCCCATAACAGACACCCTGGGAGGTAGGTGGGGCTGAGAGAGCTCTTTGGAGAACTGCTCTTTCCAGAACAGCTCAGAGAGAACTTGTGACTGACCCAAGGTCATGCCAGCAGCTGTATGTGGAAGAGTGGGGAATCAAACCCAGTTCTCCCAGATTACAGCCCACGCTCCGGACCACTACACCACACTGGCTCTCCCACTGTGGCTCCAATGATAAGCAGTCATGTCTGCTGAAATCTCAGCAGGTACAGGAATCGCTGCCTAAGTGTTCTACGTGCCAGCAAGGAGGACTTGATACAAATTTAAGTCTAATTTTCAAATTTATTTTTGCTGTCAAGTCACAGCTGATTTACGGCGAGCTTGTAGGCCATTGCCTGCCTCTGCGTCACCACCCTGGTATTCCTTGGAGGCCTCCCATCCAAGCACCAGCCAGGGCCGACCCTGCTTAGCTTCCAAGATATGACGAGATCAGGCTACCCTGGACTATCCAGAGGAGGGTGTTTTAAAATAGAAATGTTTTATCTGTGTGTACGTATCTATCTCCCAATTTTTCCCCCAGTTCTCCTCTGTCACCTTTCTTGGTGCTGTAACTTTTTATATGGCTCATCTAGTCTGGGTACAGTCTCTATCCAGAGCGGCAGCAGTTCCCCAAGGTGTCTTTCTCAGCTCTGCTCCCTCCAAGAACCTTCGGAGTGGAGACGGTGGCAACTGAGCTGCACCTTTAGGCAGGCACAGTGTGTGCGCATCATGCGCCCACACGCACACACACAAAACAGGAGGGACAGTAACACTCAGTGATTTAACACTAAAACCCTCCCAAAAAACAACAGTCATGGAGTGGAATGATAGTGCTCGTGGATAGCAAAGCCTTGGCCAGAGCTGAAACTGGCAAGAAGAAAGAGAGAGAGAGAAAGGAGAAATACAGAAATCTATCTCTGTCACCTTTCTTGGTGCTATTGATCATCAACCCTGTAAGTTTTTATATGGCTCATCTAGTCTGGTACAGTCTATATTCAGAATGGCAGCAGTTCTCCAAGGTGTCTTTCTCTGCTCCCTCCAAGAACCTTCGGAATGGAGATGCTGGTAATTGAGCTGCACCTTTAGGCAGGCACAGTGTGTGCGCATCATGCGCTCACGCGCACACACAAAACAGGAGGGACAGTAACACTCAGTGATCTAACACTAAAACCCTCCCAAAAAAACAATAGTAATGGAGTGGAATGATAGTGTCGGTGGATAGCAAAGCCTTGCCCAGAGCTGAAACTGGCAAGAAGAAAGAGAGAGAGAAAAAGGAGAAATGCAAAAATCTAGCTTTGCTCACACTTCCTCATCTTCTCCAAAAGCTCCATGGTGGGGGTGGAAGAGGAGCAGAAAGGGGCACACCTACACTCCACAAATTATTTCACTTGCAGCAGAACACTTTAACGACACGCTCCACTTTACATTTCCAATATCTCTTAGAATCATAGAGTTGGAAGGGACCTCCAGGGTCATCTAGTTTAACCCTATGCACAATGCAGGAAATTCACAAATTCCCCCCCCCCCCCCGTTGACCCCTGCTCTATGCCCCAAAGTTGTGGATCCATAACAACAACAACAACAACACAAGTTGTGTCTTTTTGTGGATCCACAATAACAACAACACAAGTTGTGTCTTTTTGTGGATCCACAATAATATCCTTAGAAGTGTGTGCGTGCTACAGATTTCATAGTTCTGAGACACATTCTGAAGAGAAACTGTTAGAACAATGGGATTTCACCCACCCTGGTTGCAGGGAGAGACCCCTAGGTTCCTGGTTACCCAGGCTTCAAAATGTTCAGAATGTTCTGCGTCTATGCAGAATCTAAACATGTAATTCAGGTTTCCAGGAACATTTTCTTCAGTCCTGTGTATATGTTTTGGTCATCAGTAACAACAGGATTTGACTACCAGGAGATGAAATCTCATAGCGTTGCCCCCTTTCTTATACCGTTCAGCCCTTTGGTGGTGACAGCCAATAGCACCACCCAGCTGTTTGCTGTTATCACCTAACAGCTGATCAACAGCGTCAGCAACTGACTGGAATTCCCTCCTT